ATGAGAGACAAAAGGAAGGAAAATAGGAGAAAAAGATTAATCACCTTCCCTAGTGGCCAAAGTCTTGGGGAAGAAAGAATGATCAGGATAAAGAAGAATATAATAATGATGGAAGAAGTTAAGGGAAGAAACAATAGTATAAATATCTGAATGACAACACTCATAGTGTGAGAAGTAAGAGGATATAGGTCTTTAGAAAAAGGTGATATAAGGTGGAAGTTTCCAATGTCTCAAAAGATGCATGGGTAAGAGCAAATAGAACAACACTGAGGTTCAACTCAGGTATGGGAGCAAGATGAGAGAGTCTATGGAGAAAGATGGTTTGAAACAAGGTAGAAAGAACTGAGTAGAAAAATACCCTGCAGTATCGAGAAAGGCAAATTGCTGTGGACAGGGTCACACTATAATTAGGAATGGTGGAGACAGCTAATCCATGGTCGAACAGCTAGACAAAGAAAGAGAAATGGCTGACAGCAGGACAGTCAGGAGGAAAGTGCTGACAGACAGATCATCAGGAGAAAACCTGCAGCTTACACTGGTAGATGGACAAAGTAGAAGAATGACAGGAATGAGAAATCAAAAGACTAGACAGTTGGAAAGTCAGGTTCTATAAATGAGAGACTGAACAAATTTCAAACGTGAAGGTGGAGGAATGTGATCCCTTGAAGGAACAATGAGGTATGAGGTTGAAGCAAGAGAAGGGGTATGTATAGTTGGCAGAGAAAGAAGGGCTCAGGTTGTCAAGCAGCATAGAAGAGATAACCAAGGTTGAGCCAGCCGAAGGGGTGCCACTAAGAAGACATGATAAGTATCATGAACCAAGGCCAGGACACAATGTAAAAGAGAGAGAGGTTGATACGTATAAAGAAAAAGATAAGACCAGTCCTGGCTGAAAGCACTGACAGCCAGGGCCAAGGAATGTGCAACAGGAGACCAAAAGAGAGGGTGAAGAGACCATTGTGTGAGCAGAACACTGGCTGGTCCAGAGAGATGGTTTGCAACTGATTCATGCCAGCCAGCACATGGCAGGTGATAAGATGAACCTATAGAGACATTGGCTCAATAAAGAAGGTCTAAAGATTGAAAGCAAAGGGTCCTGGATTGGTATCTTCTTGGCATTTAATAAATGAAACAACCATGGAGTTGTCAGGAGTGGTAAGAAAGTTTTGATACAAAAATGAAGGACAACCTGGAAATAATTGAGTGAAGAAAGGTCAACAACCAGGCACCAGCCCCTGATCTTTTTGGCGGGCCATAGAGAAATGAGAATAAAACCCTAGAGGAAGACTATAAAACCTCTCTATTGCATGTTTGTCTAAGAAATCTGACACCACCTCTTTAAGATGTTGTAATTAGATGGGACCCAATGGAGGAGGAAAGGAAATGGGCTGTGAGCTGAGAGGTGGAGGAGAAAGGAACTGGAGAGAAAGTCCATGAGTAAGAACTAGAGTAACCAATCTACCTGTGAAAAAGTATGCCCATAGGTGCACAAACTGCAACACACAGGCTCCCACAGAATCTGATCCAATTTGATTGTCACCAATGAGCTCAACAAGTCTTATGCCAGGTAGAAGTCAGATGGGGAGAAGAGAAAGGTGGGAAACAGAGGTGCTAGGACAATGTACAGGGGTGGAAGGCTGGGTTTGAAACAGTCTGGAAGCTAAGGATGAGATGTGAGGGTTGATCACAACCAACATCCACCCATTATTCAATAGAATCAGGATTACCCCCAAAAACTTCAGGGCCAAGAAGAAAAGTGGCTAGGTGAAGATCTCATAGAATGGAGGAAGGAAGTCAAGCCCAGCAAAAGAAATTATTTGTAGCCAATAAGTCCCAGCAACAAATTGGCCAAGTGAGAAGGGAGTGGGCAGAAAAAGTGGAATTTGTCATAGTGGAGAAGAGAAAGGAATGAAAATTACCCAAAAAATCATCTCAGGCACAGTGGAGTGCCTCAGACATGAAGTGTAGAGAGGGGAGGTACTGAAGTATGGCAATAAGGAACAAGTGAAGATAAGAGTATTATGAACTGGACAGCAAAACCAATGCCAAAGAGTCTGCCTCCCAAACAGGCAAGAGATATACCAAATTTTTAGAATTGATAAAGGGAAATTCTGAATGACTATAGATGATGATATAATAATCAGACAGATAAGGAGGGCGAGGCATGATATTATGGGAAAGAATCCGTGAATGGTATTATTAGGAGAAGGAAGTAAAATGGAAAAAGTTGTTATAATTATGAAGGAGAGAATGAGAAGCATCATAAGACACAGGTAAAAAGAGAAAGAATACTACACAACTGTGATGTTAAGTCCTGATAATGCAAGGAAATTTGATGGTTCTCTTCAACAGGGAGAGGGGTTTCCAAAGCCTAACAAGGAAAAGGAACTTGAAAACCCTTATCATGGGGGATGAAGGCATAAAGTGTAACTACTTTATTTGAACTTTATTTAGGAAGTTTTAGATGTTATACAAACAAAATATGAAAATTTAAAAATGGAAAAGTATTTTTAATCTCAACATGAAAAGCATGTTGCACTCAGAGCAGTCAACACTTTGCATATATTCACAGAAAAAATTTTAGCAAACATTCTTCATTGCAAATTCTGAATTTTTTTCCATAAAATACTTAAAATGTTTACTGAAAGCATGCAAAATTTTATGAATATACAGAAAATGTATTAGAAGTTATAGTATGAAAACTGAAGATCAATTTGGGATCAAGAACTTGGTCGAACTGAACAAGCCGTAGCAATTAAGTCAATTGTTTCTAATTGCAATTATGATATGATGTAAATAAAAAACATTATTACCCTTACTGATGATAATAAAACATGTATTCATCATTTGATTATCAATTTATTTGATTTACAGAAGATCATAGTGGGATTACTGCATATTTTAAGAACAGATATAATGTCAACTACATGGTGGTGTTTAGTCAACATTAGCAATTTATCCATCAAATAGGGAATGTTCTGAATTCCTTTTCAAAATTTGTGGCAAAATACTTTTTTTTTTTACAAAAAACTTGTATTTTGCAAAATGCAAAAATGGCAACCTTCAGAAATGGTCTATCATATGAAACTAAGGATAATTTAAAAATTACATGTAAAAACTGAAACAATGTTAGAATGCAGTGGCACTAAAAGTTACATATCTAGCACACACAATAGTTTATGTGTGTACAGGGGAGGACAGCATTTGTAGTAATTATTAATCAAATGTGATTGATTAATGAGCCAACTGATTAATTGATTACTAAATACCACTAATCACCTAGCTCTAGTCACTACTATGAAAGAAAGAATGCAATCTAGCTGATGCATGAAAAAGAAGGAAATAAGTACACCATGATAAGATACTGAGATGATAAATAGTCAAAGAATCAAAACCATTCTCTTTTACAGTCCAAAAGTATCAAAGAGACATCTTAGGATGGGAGGTCTTTAGAACAAAAGGGCTGAAATACACAATAGGATTGAAATAATTCCATGAAAAGACAAAACAATAAACATATCTCACAGAGGAGAATGTCTATCACAAAAGATGAATGAATTGTTCAGCACTGGTTAGTACCTTGTGAGAGCTATTAAGGATAAATCAAGATACAGAAACAGATAATTAAGAGAATCTGGAATAGACAGAAAAAAAAAATTATATTATGTCTCTAGCTTCACCTGAGAAAGCCATCCACTTTGGTTGAAAGACAAACTGTGCAGAAACATGCAGAGGGCACTAAAAGTACAGGGGCTCAATGGCAAAAAAGGGTAATTTTCAAGCATCACAAGGCAAGACTACTTTGGGGAGGAGGTGTTAGGGAAGACTATGGGTTGCCTTTGGTACACAGAGGATAAAAAGCTGTAAGAAGTATACATTCTCTTTTATTTTTATTCAATTGAGCTTAAAAACCCTTTTAAAATCTAAAACTAGACAATGTATTCTTGTGTACTATCACTTTATAGCAAATCACAATTAATCATTTTACTGTAAAAGTGTACAAGTCCCAGTATGCCATTCATTTTAAAGCTGAATTATGTTTTCCATTAATAACTCACTGCAAACAAGGTGTGGAATCAGGTGTACCTTTTAGTAGTTGTGGTTAATCTTTTATGAGCGAGAAAAAGGGCACTTTGGGGACATAAGAAGAGAAAGTCAGGGGCTTCAGTCAACCCACCACACCAACCCATAAGTATCTATACTAGAAATTAATTTCACTAAATATTCATATTATCAGCATTCACTTTCATTGCAAATTCCTCCCTGCCCATATATATGCATACAAGCATCGTGCAATACATTTTGTGGTAATGTAACTAACTGAGCTGTAAATACTGTACTGTGTTACGACACGTAGCCATTCACACTCAGTTGAATGCCATACAAAATTTATGTGCATAAAGCAGCACAGAGGAGCAGCTTGTCCACAATAAAAAGTTTAGTGACTAAAACAGAATTATTAGCCAATCTCAAAAGGACACTATTCCTAACATTTTCAGCCCAACATTTCTATTGTACAAAGTATAATCTTTTTTAAACAAAAAAATGGACCAAAAGATATTTTTGTGGGAGTTCAAATTTTCAAGTTCATAGTTAATGAAGTTATTGATGAGTTTGGTCGAGGATCAAAGTCAACATTAGATGTGTAGTATGAGCATGGATAAAAGTACACCAGACTGCAATGCTGTTTTGAGTAAGGGTTTGTTCCAGATAGTTACTTACACATATATACATTAAGTGTGTTTGTATTTGTGTGTACACAGTGTTAGATATTGGTGTAAATATGTGTATATGCACTACTGCTTATAATCCATGCCACTGTTGCAGAAGCTCAATAATTATAGATTTTTCTTTTATGCTTACAAAAAGTCTATAACAACTCTATATTTTCGAAATAAATTAAGAATTTGTTTAACAATGGTTAAAGAAACATCAAATATCTTGTAAACATTCTACAGAACACAAACTAACTTATGTAAAAATCATTAAGTTACTGCTACCTTCTGCTGCCCTTGTGACCTCTGCTACAAAAGTGTTTGTTCTGGGACTGAATGGTAATTCAAATAGCAGCTTCTGTTTCTGGTAGGTCACTTTCACATACACATCAGCACCAGCTAGGAAAAGGATAATAAATTATTTGATGCCTTAGGCCAACTTAAAAATCTATAAAGAATAGTAAAAATTATATTTATAACACCAAAGATAACAAAACATATAATCAGCCTTTTTTCTTGTTGTTGTTGTTGTTTTATATTTAAAATTAAATGATAAATTTAAAAGTAAAATACATAAATTTGGATAAATATGAGATTCTGCAATTGATTTCAGTTTTGACCAAATACAAGACATTTCTTTTATGAAGTTTATACTGATAAGTATCAGGCTTCACACAACCTGAAGTAAGATAAAAAAAAATTTCAGTAACACCTATTGTTTTGAAAGTTTTAAGCCAGACTTTGTATTTAAAAAACAACAACATGAGATTCATCAGTACTCCAATGTATTCTGACTTAAGTAATACTATATTTTTGTACAGTAACAACTGATTGTAAACAAACATTATGACTTTTCCAATACATAGATATCATGCTTCTTCTTCTTCATAACAACCTTAATCCCAATTAGTTTGGGTTGAGCAATAATTTTGGAAGGCAAGAAGTTTTTCACTAGAATGGCCAATCCAGATGGCAACCATATAGGACAAGCATGTTTAGAGATAAGGATTTGAACTCACAACCCTCAGATTGCTAGTTGATCCAGGCCCAGAGATGTCATACTACAGGGTTAAAAATAAAATAAAAAAATTTGCAATCAACAAATAATGTTCGTTTGGCATATTAAATGTTCTTGTCTTCAGCATTGTAGTTGGAATGTGACTATCCATTGGATTACTATTAATCTGATAAAAAAAACAACTGAATACTGGTTGCTCTTGAGACTGTAAGTCACAATGCAAAAATATGTAAAGGAACATATTTGATATTCACCATCATTGATAAAATTTTCCAAATGCAGTTCAAAACTATCAAAGATAGGGTTTTAAACTTAAGCCTTATCCTATCAGAATTCAGCTATAAAAATTAATCCCTAAATGTACACTGAGCATAGGAAAAACTTACTTCACTCATTACTCAGTTTCACTACAAGAGATATACACATCCCAATAGAAGCTGGACTATTTTATAAATAAGACTACAAATGTACTTCAATTTAAATTCAAAACGTGTACACAAATATGTTAAAAACAAAATATCTCTTCCACTTATATCTACCATAATTAGTAAGTAACAAATTTTATATGTTTAATTTTTTGGTCAGTATGAAAATTTGTAGATGTAATTGCTTAACTCAAATATTATGTAATATATATATACTTTACAATTTATAGCTTTGTCACATAGAACATGCTTTTTAGGAATATGAAATTTTTGCAATGTTATAATTATATTCTAATTTTTATATGTTAAAAAAGTTATATCTTAATGTTTGAAGAAATCCACAAATGTATTCAACCAGCAGAAATTTGTAATCCTTTAATACACTCAAAAAATAAATATATAATTATAACTATCCTCTTTCACTGCATGTGCTGATTCCAATATTTCAATGCTAAAATATCAAAAACATACTTTTACAAAAGCCATCACAAAATACACTGAGTTTTTCATGTCCTTTAACATGTTAAAATATCAATGTTATAAAAATACAAAAACAGTGAAAGCTCAAACTAGTGTTGCAGCTTTGAGGGAGGATAGAAAAGATTAGTGTGTATAAAGTACTACATTTAAGATGGGTGGGAGGAAGCAAAAGAATGAGAGAAGTCTCATATAAAAACCCATGCATCAGCTTATCATGCTTGACCCTTCCTTAACCAGTAGAGATTCTATGTAATGCATTTACAGATGAATTCTTGGAAAAAAACTTACCAAATACATCTATGCCTGAAGTATCTGTAAAAAGAATTGTTAGTAGAAGATATGTTATTAAGTCCTACAATAGGGAGGCAAACAACTGAAACCTTGCAGACATTTCAGTATAACTCATAAACAGGTAAATATTGCAATACTATATGACATACTTAGTATGATACACAATGTTTTCTCATTAACCAGTCTTTCAACACTGAAATACAAATATGGTTAGCTCGCAGTACATTAAATGCACAAATGTTTTTTTACATATATATTAATCTTGCTAGGCACATTTTTTTTCAAATAAAACAATTTGGGTACTATATTTTAATTATTAAACTATGCTATTTGCTACTTTTAGAAGTTCTAAGGTAAACTGCCAAAGACAATATGATGTATTATAATTTATCATATGAAATATCCTAAAACTCTGTTGTTAGCAACTACATTTCAACTTTAATTTTCATAATTTAGTTCGATTACTTTAAATAAAACTTTGAAAAGTATATAATATCAAAATTCTGATCAACAAATGTACAAGTAAATTGTTATTAACCACCTTAAATTCATATTTCTGTTACTCAACAATTATCAAGCTTTCAGTCAATAAAGTTCAAGTTTTTTATCATGTGAGATAGAAAATTGATAAATTACAAAACAACAGACCCACTTATAAGACTGCTTTTGGAGGGTACATCTTCTTTCTTAAACTTTCCAGTTTATGTCATCAAACAAAATTAAAATTTCTGTAACTTACCAAATATTGGGAATTGTTTAAACCATTAACTGTCAAGATTTTGTCAATTATCAAATTTTGAAATCTCCCCCAGCCATTAAAGAGCAATAGATGTCTCAACCAACAAGAACCTAAATTTCTTTGAAGTATTAAGTAAAAATAGTTGGGTGAATATGTTACAGATATGACATTTTCACTTTTGGAAGAAAAAAAAAACTGATATTAGGGTTGTTGGATTTTATTGTTCCTCAGATAATTTTATCTTTAGGAAGGAAATACATAATTTTCTACAATATACTCAACATATTAAATTTTTTTATACTCTTCACATAAATTTATTATCTGATCTAATACCATTATTTACATTTTGTTTACTATCTATTTATATGTTATTTCAATTCTTCATCTATTACAAATTCTTAAATATAACTGCATGTATATGTTAATTTTTTCGTTCATTATCCTCCACATCCATCAATTTCCTTCTTCCTTTTTTTCTTCTTCAATCCGCTCATATCCTTTCTTTCTTATTTTTTACACCTATTCACAATTCATGTATGCTCCACTGTCCCTTCTTTTTTCTTACATCTACATTTCCAATCTTCTAGATTCTTCCATCTCTTCTGACCTCTATGCATATTTCTGAATCTTAGTCTGAAAGGTACTTTATTTTATTTTCCCTATTCTCTCATATATTGCATTGCTCCAATGTCTTCCTTTATATTTTTATAATGTGTACAATACATACAGTTCTACTGCACTTCAATTCTTCTGGATATTTTGTTCCATTTTTCTTCTACCTTTTTCTGTATAACTTTTATATCTACTTGCTTTTAAATATTTTTTTTAATATTTATGTATTTTCAATACCTTCTAATGATCTTTTCATTACCATCCACCCATTTATTCTTCCTATCATTTTAAATTCCTCTCATAATCTCTATTAAACATTTGTGGTCATATTTTTCCCTTCATTTTTATTACTTCTAAAACATATGTAAAAACTCTCTTCATACTTTTGACTTCCATATTCAATCTTCCTGTCTCTAAAGGCCTTACAAAAGTTGGTGTATTTCCATCCACATATAGTGTCCATTTCATTTGTCTTTCCTGCAACTTTTCTTCTTTATTCCATCCCCATACTTTTACCCCATAGCTTACCACCGATCCAAATAACATATCAAAGAACTGAATTTTTTGCTTAATACTATTCATTTCACTTGTCTTTTTTTATACTCCACATTATATTTAAGGCTCTCTGTGACTTTTCATACCACTGTCATATTTTAAAAGTTTGGAGATGGCTTGACTGGGTAATGAAGAAAACTTTATTATAAATGTATGATGTTTTGACAAGATTACATCATCTTCAAGATGATG